GCCTCTGCTAGAGCGAGGAAGCAGTAGTTTTGATGATAATCGCTAATAAAATTGCACCGAGTTAATATGCACAGCATCGGCGGCACTGCCAAACTGGAAGATCAGGGAAAGATCAGCAGTGCCGCCAAAGTGAAAAAAGCACGCAGAAGACGGAAAAGGGGAGAAACATCATCATCAAAGGATGCTAAATGATTTCCACAACAACAGAGGAAGTGAGTGGCAGCCTCTCGATGGTGCTCAGTGCAGCAAGTGGCTTCATCAGCAGTCTTTCGGAGAAGTGTTTGCCAATCTGGTAGCAAGGGTTGCTCTCTGTCTGTTTATAGTCTGTCTGGATGTGTGTGCGTGTGCGTCTTCTGATGGCACTGGTGTCCCCTCGTCACTGACATTTGGTTGACTGCTGCAGTCAAACCGCAACTGATGCTGCTAGTTAGACAGATCATTAGCTGATTGGCAATTGCCTTGCCACTGTGTTGCACACTCCGTGCAAGTGAGCATCAGCTCTCTCTTCACTCTGACTCTTTGTCGGTGTGCTGCGACCAGTCTAAACAGTGATGAACAAGGGGAGAACGAGGAGTTAATGGCAGCTGTCGACACATCAACACATGGCCACATTAGCAAATGAACGGCAACAGCAACAGCAGATGCAGCCAATCACCGGCAGTGACGGCAGAGACAACCATTGCACCAAGTCAATTGACGAATTTGTCAGCACACTCTTTCTTTAGCTTTGCTGTCTACTTTAGACTAAAACTAGTGTTATGAATTAATTTGATTTATCAANCGACAACCATTGCACCAAGTCAATTGACGAATTTGTCAGCACACTCTTTTTGTAGCTTTGCTGTCTATTTTAGACTAAAACTAGTCGTATGAATTAATTTGATTTATCAAATAAGTTTTGGTTAGAGCAAAAGTTCAAACTTTTTGCTGATTGATAGCAACATTGACTTTTTTGCCAAAAAAAAGGGCTAAAGAAGCTTTGTGTGCGGCCAGTGTGCTCAGCAGCCAGTACTAATGGTTGACTAAAATGGTTTGCTCTGGTGAGAAAAATGTGTGCATAAACGGTAGAGAAAAGGACTTTGCAGTACAGTTGACTACAGTTTGCCTATGCTAATTTGCATGTGACGAGCACAAATGATAGTGTTGCTGGTGTCGGTGTTGATGTCCCTCGGTGAGTGAGTGTGCTTAAGCTGGTGACACTGTCAAATGTGAAGGATAGTCGTCGGTTGATTTGTAGTGCACTATAGGCGTGTGTGGGCACCGATGTCAGTGACAGAGCTAGTTGGGCAGATGGACGGCAAAGTCTTTCTCTCCTCTAATTGATTACAACCACTGAAGTGCACTGGCACAATGCACATCTCACAGTTCAAAAGAGACACTGCCTATACTGGGCTGGGATGCTGCAGTTCTCTGATGTTACACTCAAGTGTCATTGACGTGCTCTCGTCAAAGTGCGGCCACCACTGCTGCTGCTGATGCTAGTGCTGGTGAACTCTTAGCGGTGCTGAGAGGAAGAAAAAGGTGCTAGAAAAGTGCTTGCAGAAACTATGTTCTGGCTTAAACTGAGCAAAACTTGCATAGTCGTTGAGTGGGCCACTTTGTCGTCGGCTTGCTCATCGTCGGCTTGCAAAGCGAACCCCGTCATTAGCTGGATGACTTCAGCTGACTTCTCTCACTCTCTCATTAGGCGTGCATTGTTTTCTTCTTCTTCTTCTTCTCTGCCTTGCAGATGTGCACATTGTTTTTGTTCGCATGACCACCACCATCGCTACTACCACCACTACGATGAAATATTCATACACTTGCCAGTGAGTGTACTCTGCAATGAAGTGATGATAATAGTTACGCCAAAGTTGGCTAATTGTCATCTGGCACTGTCAGCAGTCAGTCAGTCAGTCAGCCAACCTCTTTCCCTTTACTAGCTGTAAAATCAATCAACAATTAACCGCAATCAAATGCTTCGCTGACAGTAAAGCTCAGGTGACGGGGGACGGCAGGCTTTTAGTTTGGCCAGAATGCAGCCAGCATAAACACAAAGAAAGAAAGACAGGGTTGTTGCCTGTTCTGGTTACTGCTGCTAATCGCTAATAGATAATAGTTGATAGTAATAATAAATAAGTAGTAGCAGTGGTGCGTCTGTGACTACCAAATCGGTTCATCGCTCCACTGACTGGTGACGACTTCGAGCGGCGATGAACTGAAGAGGTACTTGAAAGAACAAAAAAGAAGAAGACGATGACGATGACGACCACGCAAGGAAGGAGCGCACCTAACCTAACCAGTCAGTAGTGCAGCTAATCGATTTCAATTTGCCATCTACCATTTTCCCATTTGCCCGTTCACCATCACACTGTTCGTGCAGACGTGTCTGCTCAGTAAAGCTGCTGCTGCTGGTGCCTAGTGCTAATTCAACTACACAACTTGCCACCTCCGCTAACTGCTGCACAGCACACCACCACCATCACCAGAGAGCTTCGCTCGTGATCACGCATACCGAGAGGAAGGCAAAGAAAGATGGAAAAAAGAAAGAAAGAAGCAACGAAAAGACATGACCAAGAAATGTGTTTGCTGTGTGTGTGTGTTCGAATGGCGTGGGCTGTTTCTGATGTTGAAGTTGAAGTTGATGTATGCTGGTCAAAGTTGGAGAAAAATGAGCATAAGAGGTCGGTAAAAGAGAAACGACTGAAAGTCTGGCAAGGCACTGGTGGTGCTGGTCAACTAGGGCCACTTGAGCTGCTGTCAATTAGTGGGCTGCGGTTTCAGGAGCGGTTTGCGGTGATGTGTATTTGGCCTGCGAGGGAAGAAAGCTAGGCTTTGAAGACAAACAGCGTGAGGCAAATCAAGTCTGCATATTGAACTGCGGTTGCCGTTGTAGTGGATTGTGTGTTTGTTCCGGGCAGACAACCAGCGAACATGGCCCAACACCGCAACTATCACCACCACAGTTGGATGCTGCTGGTGGACAAAAAAATGCAAAAAAAAAATGAAAGATGAAAAGATGAAAGTGCGCGTAGCAATTGAAGGAAAATTTGAGGAACACGCAAATGCAAACATGGCACAAAGAGTATTACTGCATTACTGACATAAACAGTAGAATAGAACCAAGTTTCAGTTAGGTTGTGTGAACAGGCAAATTGTTTCTTGATCTCTTTGCTAAATTGATGGAAAATTTTTATTATTGAATAAAAATAAAAATAACGAGATTATGATGATATTCAGTAATTTCGATTTATTCAAATTTTTTATATTGAAACAAAGAAAAAATGATTCAGCAATTCAATTGAGAAAACTACTCCAATGATATACTCACGCAACCTGGTTCAAACATACAAAAAGCACACTTTTGTGCTAATCGAACTTCAGCTAAAAACTCTATCTGTTGAAGAATGTCGACAAAATGAAGGAGTGATCCGTTACCACCGTTAACAACAACAATCTCATCAACTCAATTCATTTGACAATCCGTTTAAACTGGTCCAGCAAATTAGAATCTAAATTGGTGGGGAAAAATTGGAAAAAAAAACAAAAAAGAGAATATAAAGCATTGGCAAATTAATATTGGGACACGCTATTGAGCCAATTATTAAATAGCAACAGAAACAGTTTGAAGTTGTGCTCTGGAGAGGAGAGTAGTGTAGATGCCGTGCCAAGTACCGTGCAGTTTGTCAGTGTGTGGCAATCGGCGAAAACAATCTGCAGCCTGCGATATATAGCCATCAGAGCTGTCCTGAAACAGTACAGCAGTTGGTTGAGGACACGGCAGTGTGTACTTGTCCAGAGCAGTAATGAGATGCAGTGTGTGCCGCTGGACAGAGGTTTGTGCTCACTTGCCGCACCAGTGACCAGAGTAAGCAGGGAAAAAGAGGAGAAAGAGAGAGAGATTCACTTCTGATGCGACACTCTTCATGTCTTCCACACAGTCTCAGTCACAGGCGCGTGCTAGCCGAACGACCGAAGCCGAAAAGTTCACGTTCTCTCTCTCACTTACTTTCAGCTTATCTGGTCTCCAGCGTTTTTCCTCTCTCTCTCTCTCCTTTTCGCTCTTTTCCGCCGTGCACAATGGCAGCTCATTTCGACACCTCTTTATCAGTAGGTCTAATCTTGCTCTCTCTCGTCAATTGTGGCGCGAGCGCATTTGTTAGGGCTGCTGCCCAGGCAACTCATTTGCTGCTCTGACTGTTTGGTGCTGTGCTCAAACTAATTTCATTTGTGCTCTTGCCAGCTCATGTGAAAGCTTATTATTATATCAAAAATAAAAGCCGTGTGGAGTAAAAGAAAGAAAGAAAGAGAGGGGCACAAACTGTGAAAGGTTCTCCAATCAGCGCAATCAGATGATATCTTCTGACGCTCCAGCACTTTGGCTTGCCAGCGCACTTTGCAGCGCTGTGCCCACTGGAGCACTGTGTTCTGGCCAGAGCACCTTGGAGAAGGCAGACTGGGCGCCAAATTAATTACAGCACAATTACGAGTTTGTGTGTGTGTTGGCAGGCAGTCATAACTGAACACTGCAACACTGTCGGCAACTATACCTGATGCTAAACGGACTGAGACGGACAGCAGAGAGGTGACAGCACCTATCTATAGACGAGCAAGATATAAAGAACGTGCAAGACTAATTAATTAGAAGGCTGTAGGCTAAGATGAAAAAGAAGAAGAAAACGAAGAAAAAATGACCAAGTGGAGCCAACAATGTCTGTCTAACAGGAGCAAAAGCAGAAAAAGTATGATGTGCTGTCTTGGCAAATTAATTAGCACATCAGCTAGTCAGAAAAGAAAGAATGCTTTTAATTAAGACACATACACTCGCCAACTGCTTCTGCTGATCAGTTTTTTTCTAAAGCTAATAATCTAATAATCGGCATGGCCGATCGCAATGTGATGGCGTAATTAGAATTGACTATATCGTGTGATTTCCTCCAATTATTACTCCCTCCCCTCACTCTACAGCAATTTTCAGTTGAGTTGGCGCTCAAAAAAGTGAAGTTGCCACACTGACTTACTTCGTTTGATGTAGGAGTCGCGAAGATCACTTCGAGTCGACTCTTTGATGGCATCATTCGGTACTGAGGAGCGCTTGTTGATGACCAACTCGAGGGCCTGCATCCAGTGCTGCCTCTCTTCAGCGGTTTCAGTGCCGAAACACCACTTTCGACCTAAAAAGTAAAGCAAATTAGCCTCGAAGTTGAATTTGAACAAAAATTGTTGTTCACTGCACTGCTCCTGAAGTGCGCTCTAGTGGCCTGCAGTCAAAGTACTCTTCAGTTTATTTGAAGTCTGCTCCTTACCGGGAGTTACCAGCGTGAATGAGTGTCCCTGTTCAAAGTCCTTCATGCCTGATGATACGCCCACGCAGACAGAGTAGCCTTCATTGCTAGCAAAAAAATGAAGAAGTTGTAAGTTGTTTTGCTTTGGTACTGGTCATTGGTGGTGCACGACTTACCTGTCGCCGATGAAGATTTCTCCTTTTGGGTAGGGATTCTGTAAAGAGCAAAAAATCAGTCATTTTTATCTGACTGCGACTCACTTACCAGTGGATGTTCGAGGTACATGAGCTTTCGATTTTCATCGAGAATGAACCACCGCTTTTTGTAGGCGTCCGTCACTCTAGGCCCAGTTTTCCAGAGGTAGCCCTCATTGAGAAAGTCTCGACTGAGACAGAGGACCAGCTCATTGACGGGCACCTCGGGGAAGGCAATCTGCAGGTGGCGAAGCTTTGTCGCTCTGATGGCCGTGTACCAGTCGATGATGTCCTTTCCGCTGTCACTGTACACAAAGACACTTCGCGTGAAGCCGTCCTTGTTCCAAGAGATCTGCAGGGCATTTGGGTTGCTGATTTTGTTTGTGCAGAAGGTGGCATTTGCAGAGATCACCTTGATCACTGCCTTTGGGCTTTTATGCGTCTGGTGAGAAGAAAAACGTAATTGTAAAAGTTGTTGTTGTAAACGTCAACATACATCTTTGACAAAATATTTCAGGGTGCCTTCCACTGAAGAGAGAACAAACTTTCGTGGCAGAAACTTTCCATCCTCTTTGCCACGTTTGTAAAGAGTGCCCTCGATGTAGTCATCAGCGTAGGCTGTCATCGGTGGAGAGACAAACTCCTTACGCTCGTATTTGGCCCGAATCCACTGCTCGCGAACGACACTGATTTAGAAAAAGCAATAAAATAAATTTTCATAATGATACAAAAAAGGAAACAAAAACAAACTGTGGATCACTAGGACTGGGACGTCTGTAGTAGGCGGGCACGTGCTTCTCGAAATAGTCATTGATGAGTGCATTGCCATTCGCTTCCATGGTGGCCACATGTGACTGGTCCCAGTTGTCCAGTTTTAGAGACTTTATTCGACTGATGTGAATGCCAATCTTTCGGTGGATGCTGAAAAAGTGAGAGTAGTAAATCACAGTCAGTAGATGAAGGGTTGATTAGAGCTGCGGTGAATTACCTGGCACACTGCGTACAGAGGAAAACACCGATGGTGTAGGAGGCCCATTCTGGGTCCTCCTCATGACAGTCAGCACAAAACTGATTGCCCTCCACTTTTAGCAATTCAAACAACCGTCTGCGATTGCTTTCACTCATGATCCCGTCTTTAGGTGTCAAAAGTGATGTCAGTAGTGGTGATCTTGCTGCGTAAAAAGTTGCAATCGATCAGTGGTGCACACCAATGGTAACGTGGCTAACTGAAGAGGTGTTTGTGGTGGTTCGGGTGGTGCTTTACAAGCCAAAGTGCAGATCACTCTTTTTGCAAGCTGCTATGACTGAACTGGGTACGGCAGGGCAGACAGGCAGTGAGTGCATCAGGCCGATAGCAACCAGAGGGAAAGAGGAAGAGAGGAAGGAAGCGACCTGTTGCTGGTGGTGGTGGTGGTGGCCAGCGACGATTACTCGCTAAAACAGACAATCTGATTAGAGCACACAGCGGAAGGTGTGTGCGAGCGTGAGTGAGTAAGCCTGGCTGGTAAAGCATTACTGCTTGAAAACTGAAAGTAGAGAAGCATGCTGAAATTCGGATGAAGCTGGCGAGGACAACAACAATAACAACAACAACAACAAGAATACCGCCAACAATGATGAGACTAGAAATGTCGGTGACTGTGAATGAGTCAATGAGTCGGGGAAAATAATCTTTGACCATGAGAAGAGTTAAGGTTAAAGGCGAGTGTTTTATTAGAAGATGCCTTTCAAAAAGACGAACCGGGAAAATGAATAGTGGCGTTTGTAGAAACCAATTTTAATCAGAGTAGTTTCACTTGAACTAGAGCAATTGTGCACCAAAAGTTTGTAAAAACAGTTAAAATGCAAAACAACTAATGGTTCAAAGTAAGTTTAAATCTCAAATTAAAAGTAAAGCACTTTTAAAAGCTTTTAAAATTTCCTGAGGCTAAAAACGTACAATAAAGCAGAACTTAAGTTTCAGTAAACATGGGTTTTTATCCTTTTCTAGTTCAGTTTGCTTTTTCATTTCATGACTTTTTAACATTTTGTTTTCCTTTATTTTTAAAAACTTACTGATCATTCTCCTAATTATTGTTAGCTGTTTAATTTGGTCAAAATGTAAAGTTTTTAAAAGTAAAACGACCGTAACAAAGTTTCATCTAATTGGCTACTACTAGCCTTTGCAAAAGACCAATATCGTAACAGCTTAACCAAATGTAACCCAAAATATTTCTCGCTACCATCCACTCGCTAAGCGGCTGATAGAACTACAAAGATCGGCCATCTGCTCTCAATGTTGATGGTTGATTATTGTTATTTTTATCGAACTGTTATTAAAAGATTGCCTATGCTAATCATATTGCAGCTTTGTATACCTAATTTGTCCGTTTATATACTTTTTCCAAATCTCCATACAGACACAACAGTATCAACCGTGCCAGTAAACTTACTTGCCTTTATCTCTAGCATCTGGAACTCTTTAGTGTAGCCAGTTGTTAAGTATTTGGCTGTTGAGTCACAGCGCAGCCATCCCTCGTGTTGGTCCTTATTGCATCGAGCTCTCTTATCAAGTGTGCGATCCTATCGCAACAGTGTTATCCTTTCAAGAGCGTTCATTATCGATTCTGCACTAAAATGCTTGATTTGGCAGGTAGTATAAATAATGCTAAGTTTTGAGAAAGAAAAGTGTCGAACAAGTTTTAAGAAAACAAATAACAAGACAAAAAAGCAAAAAGTCACAATGGAACTAATGAAAAGAGGTATATGAGGGGTTGATTGATGGGTTGACTCATTCTGACGTCTTGTTGTTTTCCAAATTAGGTCTGCTCTTGCTAGCTTTGACTTGCATTGTCGCCATTCAGTCTAGCTGGGCTGATGAGCTATTCCGCAGCAACAGCACCAATGCCTGGCCTTCCTGGAATGTGACCGGTCGACCAAGCTGGAACTCTACCAACGAATGGCCATCATGGAACAGCACCGGGAAACCAAACTTCAACTCTACCAATGGTTGGCCGTTTTGGAATAGCACTCATGCTCCCAACTGGAACTCCACAAATAGCTGGCCTTCCTGGAACTCTACCAATGCACCCAGTTGGAATTCTTCCAATAGCTGGCCATCGTGGAACATCACTCATGCACCGAACTGGAACTCTACCAACAGTTGGCCATCTTGGAACAGTACTCACTCTCCAAACTGGAATTCCACTAACCAATGGCCGTCTTGGAACAGCACTCATTCGCCCAACTGGAACAGCACCAACAGCTGGCCTTCTTGGAACACCACTAATGCGCCCAGTTGGAATTCTTCCAACAGTTGGCCATCGTGGAACAGCACACATTCTCCAAACTGGAACTCCACTAACTGGCCTTCCTGGAACTCTACACACTCACCAAACTGGAACAGCACTAACGGATGGCCCTCGTGGAACAGCACACACTCTCCGAACTGGAACTCTACTAACAGCTGGCCGTCGTGGAACTCCACCAATGCTCCCAGCTGGAACTCAACTCATGGTTGGCCGTCCTGGAACAGTACCCACGTCCCAAACTGGAACTCCACCAATAACTGGCCATCTTGGAACTCTACTCATTCCCCAAACTGGAACTCTACCAACGGCTGGCCATCCTGGAACAGCACCCACTCTCCTAGCTGGAACAGCACTGGTCGCCCAATCTTGAACGACACACACTCCATTCAGACTGGCCCTGTCACCATGAACGTCTACATCAACAACTCCAAAATTGACTCCCTTCTGAAGCTGATCAAGTCAGTGGCAGCAAAGGCTTTCAACTGAAAGGGTCAAATCCTAATCTGTACTTGAGAACAAGTTGATGGACAGTTGAGACAATAAACGACTATTTTTATTATAAACTGCATCATTTGTGTACGTAAAAATCTCATTTCTAGTTTCAGCGGCTTTATTCTGTGCTTTCAAACAAATCAGGTATGTTTTTATATTAGTTTCGAGCACTAAACTACTATTTTTTAATTAACTTTTATATCAAAAACAGTTTGTAAAATCTTTAAAATCGTTGCAACAAAAACTTTGGTAAACAAACAACCAAAAACAAAGAAAGGTGAAGAGACTCTTTACCGGGTGCTCTGGAAACTGCTACCGGGAATGTAAAAGCCTGCACTTCGATAACTTTTAACGTTTGAGGTTGTTGACTTGAGGGCATTCTTTGCCTTGAGTAGGTTCTTCTCAATAGAGCTCATCTTCCTTTTTCCATCCAACTTACTCTTTGAGGCTGCGTTTGTCCAGCTTTTTCCAGCAACGGTACTCTTGACACCCGATTGGCTTTTCACGACTGCGCCAGCGCCAACATTTTGAGTAGCATATGGAGAAGAAAGCAAAATGCTACCCAATTGTATTTGACTGCCCGGAACGGCAGCGACACCGCCTCCACCGCCTTCGGCAACCTTGCTCTTCAGTGCCTTATCAGGGACTGTAGTCACGACTTCTTTGTTTGACTTGATAGATGGAACAGGAGACTTCTTGCTCGAAACACTGAATGAAGGCGACTTTTTTGTTTTTGTAGAAAGTACCTTGACTCTTTTAGCCTTGGAACTTTTTCCACGGCGACTTTTTTCTTCATCCACCACGTCAGTATCGTTGGAGCTCTCGCAAAAAAAGCAGTAGAGGATGATAGAAATGCCCAACAGAAAGAAGATGACCGCAACGGGGATGATGACAATCATCGTTGAGTTATCTTCCATAGTTGAGTGGGCGCCGGGGATGTATCTTGTAGTAGATTTGTTGTTAGCTTTCTTAGAAGAGGTTATGGTGGTGGTAGTTGAAATGTTCTTCCACGGCGAGACCGTTTCTGTAGTCGACGAGACATTTTCAGTAATGCTGGCAAAGCTGTTCTTATTATCAGCAGCAATTCCTTTGACCATAAATGACACTATCAAAACAAACTTGAAAATCAATTCCCTTTTTGAATTGTAGTGTATTTTGCTTTCTTGATAGAGAGGTAACATTCTGATATTGATGTTGATGAATAGCTTAAAAAAGACGGAAAAATGTGACGTGCTCTGAATGCTACAATAAGAAAGCAGAAAAATGCAAAAAGAGACAAAGTCAATGAATAAATAACATTGAAGCATCATACTTGACACAAAAAGTTCTAAAAAGTGAAACGGTTTTCAAATGATGTTTGACTAAAAGCGTAGTTGATGACAAAAAATCACCGTACGCCGGGAATTATTCCGTGGTGTGACAGGAACGGGCAACCGACTGCCCCGCAGCGTACATATGGTAGGCTTTGGAGCAAGGCTCAGGGGGCCTTAAAATCAGGCTATCAGGCATGGGAGCTAGCTAACCTCGCCAAGCACTGCTCTGCCGCCGACACTCTTCGAGAGCACCTCTTGTCTTTGTCATAGACACTGCAGCCTCTACAGCTGTGCCTTCTTTCGTGCGAGTGTGCAGGTGGTGGGTCTGGCCCATTGGGTCTCCCCTTCTCCCCCTTCCTCCTCGGGCACTACTTCGGCAGGGAGCCCCTCGAGCTCAGGTCAGACGATGGGTGTCTCTACTAGAGATTTGGCGCGCATTGCAGACTTTTCGGGGTGCCTTTTGCCCAGCCCGCCTCCTGGAGCGGGGAGCGCGGCCAGCAAGTTCTGCTGTGCGCGCACTCAAGAGTGAGCATTGCTCTGGAGCACTGCCCACCGTGTGTCACCCTTCATTTTGTCACGCAGACACAGTCCTGCTTACCTAGGATGAGTACCGCAGCAGTGGCGATACTTCAATCACAGAGACTGCTCACCGACGCCGGCTTGAGTTTCACAGGACATAGAGACGTCTTTAAGCATACCAGAGAAATCTTCTTGCTAAAATGACTAGGAAATTGTCCGGTTAACATAGTATAGTTTGCTTTCTTGATAGAGCTCAAAGTGTAGTTGATGAAAAAAAATCACCGGACGCCGGGAACTATTCCGAGGTGTGACAGAGCTACTGGCAAACGACCAGCTCCAGAGCTAAGCTCCGTAGCGTGGTTTCAGGCACTCGGCCGTACGAGGGAGCTCAAGCGCCAAGCAAGCACTGCGTTTTGTGGCCTCCCGCTTTTCGAGAACACCTCCTCCCCGTCTTTGTCGTGGACACTCTGAGCATTCGTGCGAATGTTCGGGTGGGTCTGGCCCTTCTTTGGTGGTTTGCGGCAACTTCTGGCCGACTTACTCTGCCCACCCTTCTCTGGCGCGCCCCTCTTCCCCTTCCTTCTTCGGCACTACTTCGGCAGGGAGCCGTCCCTCCAGCTCAGGTCAAACATCGACTGGGAATGTGTCTCTACTAGCGTTCTGGCACACGCATCGCTGGCTTCTCTTAGGGCGCCTGTCTTTGCATCTCTCGTACTCGCTACCCGAACGGGGAGCATTTGCACACAGCAGAGGCACACAGCCGCTCACCACAACGTGTCGCCATCACTTTGTCACCGGACGCAGCTCTGAATAACCTAGGATGAGTGCCGCAGCAGTGGCGACACTTCAACCACAGAGACTGCTCACCGACGCCGGCTTGAGTTTCACAGAGCATAGAGACGTCTTTAAGCATGACGGAGAAATCTTTTTGCTGAAATGACTAGGAAATTGTCCAGTTGACATTTTATCTTGCTTCTGATTAAGATAAATGTTTTAAAAATTTATAGAAACACATTTCTGCTTGTACGATTTATAGTCGAGAAAATCAGGGCAAGTATCCTCATTGTGTGAAATCAAGCCGTCAGGTGGTGCCAATGTTACCTGAATGAAGTTGTTGTTTGGAAACATCAATTAGTTGTTTCATTAAAAATATCATCTGTTCTCTTTTTTCATCTGCTTGATTCTTTGGTTTGTTTTTTGCCACAAGTTTAAACACTTTCTTGACTAACCTATTTGTGTCATGTCCTCGAGTGAAAATTTTGCAATTGTGTCCATTTTTATTGAAACACATGGAAAAGAAGGTCACTTGGTAAACAATTTGCTCAGTGATTTGTGTTCATCCAACAAAGAGAAAATAGAAAACCAACTATTTGAAACCATTACCATCCTGAACATTTGCATAGCAATGCGAGCACAAAGCCATAAATAATTTCATTGAGCCTATTGAATGTTAATTTCTAAATCACTGAACAATTAATCACACACCAAGGTTCAGTGCAAACACAAACGAAATGTGGTGCTTCTGAAAGGGGAAGAAATGATGATGATGATGATAAAGATGATGATGACGAAACAGCAGCAGTTATAACTGATCGTTTATTTACGAAATAAGTTTGTGTGTGTGTTTTGTACAAAAAAAGCAATCCAGCAGAAAAGAAAACTGTTTGAAAAAGCAATCTTTGGATGCTGAAAGTGTGATAAATAGAACAAGTATTTAAAAGTGAAAAATCAAGGAATCGGGAAAGGGAGGAAAAAATAATAAAAAATAGTTGAGGTGAGCAAAGTTGTCAAAAATGTTTGTGTGTGTGTGTGTTTGTAGAGAGGCACATTTGTTGGGCTGGTTTGGCTGTGTGTGCTCGCAACACACCTCATCGGTAGCGGGATTAGGAACGGGAGGAATAAAAGAAGGGAAGAGGAAAAGGGGGCTCAAAATATGTATTTGAAACAGTAAAACAAAAGTGGTTAGTAGGCAATTCACTGGGCTAAGTGCATCATCCTTCTTTGTTGCCGGTTCAGTATCACTGGCACGCATGATTGACTAAGTGTGTTGCATCCAGTTCCATCCTTCTACAGTCGCTTGATGGTGGCCGTCTTCTGGTAGGCTGCATTGCCATTGTGGTACCCATTGGGCGGCAGAGGGGGCGGCGGCGGGGCGGCAGCGCCTCCTCCATTCAGCTTCAGATTGGACATTCTCGAGGCGAGCACGTTCGGGTCGATGCCGTGCTCGGCGGCCAGTGCTTGCAGTGAGCCATTGCTGGCGTTGATGCGGCCATTGGAGTGGTGGTGGTGGTGCTGGCCCCCGCCGCCATTGTGCATCTGCTGCTGTTGCTGCTGTGCCTGGTAGTGCTTTCCATTCTCTGCCGACTGCTGCTGATGCTGATGATGGTGTCCTCCATTGGAGTGGGAGTACTCGCCATTGTAGTGCTGGTGTTTGCCACCATTCTCACCGCCGGTGTGATTGCTCTTCAGACTGACTGAACTGGCGTGATTGCTGCTGCTCGTCGTTGTCGTAGTCATCATTTCCTGGTGGTGGTGGTGGTTGTGGTCGCCATTGCCATTCCTCGGCGTCTGAGCTCCATTTCCATTGCCATTGCCATGTCCATTGTGCACGGGCAGTGGACTGTCAAAGGCGAGGTTGGAGAGACTGTTGGAGCGAGAGCGGTGCTCCTGGCGGATGGAGTAGGAGAAGGCGCGTTCATTGAGGTGGCCCTTCTTCTTGTAGATGCCGCCGCCGATGCCGCCGACGGCACTGCTGCTGCTGTTGCTGTTGAAGGACGCCTGAGGGTGGCCCTCGCGCAGAAGCATCTCCTCGTGGTGCAGCTGAGCTGCCTGTTGTTGTTGTTGTTGTTCCAGGCTAGGGTGCTCGCCCGCGTATGGAAATGGCGGTGGCGGCGGTGGTCCCTGTTGGTGTCTGCCCCCTCCAGTCTGGTACATCTGCTCATGGACCATCTGCTCGTGCTGCATCTGCAACTGCTGTTGCTGTTGCTGTTGTTGTTGTACTGCACTGGGCAGCGGCATCATCTGCCCCTTCCCGTTCTTCATCTGCTTCTTCTCCTTCTTGGCGGCCTTCTTCAGCTTCGCCTTCGCCTTCTCCAACTCCTTCAGCTCCTTTCGACTGAGCGTAGGAATGAGCGTACAGGCAACCAGTTCGCCCGTCTGGGG